CACTTGCAGAAGCGACTTTTCACTAATGGTTACCGTTTTTCACGATTTTTCTGAAGTTTCATGTGATATCGTAGTTATTAAAAAAAGGCCCTTTGTTTTTCAGTAAAATTCTTATACTTTGATTGCGAATGACTATTCAAATTAGAAGATTCCATAGTGTCACCTAAAAGAACTTTTAGAATATTGTGCATAGGGGCCGTGGCAATAGTTCACTACCGGAAGGTACAATGAAACCAAGTTTCAACTATCTCTTAACGTATTGTCTTATAAAAAAATTTTTTTCTTTTTGGTTTTATATTGCACATTTTAAAGTATCAAACTATTTTATTTTCTTTTTATCTAATTTAACCCAGTAGTACTGGGTATACTTTTGGCATGTTCACTAATTTTATTATATGTATTGTTTTGCATTTATAAAGAAAATTAAAAGGTTTTGCTGTTTAACCTTTTTTTAACATCTTTTAGGGTCTCAAGTTTTATTAAAGGGACCAACTCCGCGTTAGCCCTAAATAAGCAATAGTTGTTTTTCAAAAATTCGCAACAAAAAAAACACTACGCGCGAGCACGGTACAATAAGAGTACCTGCGACATTCCAACACGCAAGCTGAAGCGTAGTGGAGCACTCTGGTAAAAGCATGGCGGAAGTCTTTGCTGACTGACTGAAAGGCACAGGTCAAAGTATAAAAATTTCAATTTATTCTAAAGAGCTAAAGTCTAAAATAGAGAAAAAGAGCGCAAACGTGCACAGCCTTCATACATATAACTCTTTGGTTTTTTGACCTCGCACGTTCAGCCCTCAACTAGCAACCACCAAATTGAGTAATTTTACAAATAAAAATTAGTCAGTGAAGGGGTTTGTGGCCTCACTAAGAAGGATGCGTGTCATACTTGTGCACCGTCTTTTGCCTTTACCTGTCTTTATTTAAGAAATATCCTATAACCTTTGTGTGAAAGATAATTTTTTAGAATTTATTCACCTTACAGCACGGATTTAAAATTTGAATAATTGAGGATAATTTTGTATTGTATATTAGGTACCTTTTATTATCTACTGCTACAATATATAGGATATATACACTATCGTGCAAAGTTGTTTCAACGTTTAGCAGTTTTTCATTTAATATAGAATAACTTATCAATAACGTAATGGAATACTATAAAATTTATACACAGTAAACTTCTATGTTCCAGCTACATTTTGTTAAAACTTGGTTTTTATATTGATTTCATATTAGAAAAGATATGAGCTTGTAAAGTTGAAAGATTATAGAAACAATTTTGCAGGTAGAAAAAATATTTTATCTAATAAACGAGATTTTAATAATTAGTATGGTTCCCTTTTGCCAGAATCATCGCTTGTATCCTCTTTGGCATACTGGCAACCGACCGTAGTATTGATCCGGTGTTATATTTTTCCATTCCGAATGTACACGTTTCCAAGCTCGTCCAAGTAATCAGGAGTTGATTCGTATAATCAAATTTTCTCTTCAAGATTCCCCATGCATGCTCAACGGGACTGAGATCAAGAGATTGCTGACCAGCCTAGCATATGGAACGACTGTAATTGGAGCCATGATCACACCGATAGTGCAGTGTGACATGGGCATTATCTTGCTGAAAAGACATTCACCTAGACGAATGGCACCAAATCGCATGTCCTGGGCAGGTCATTCTTAATTGTTTAAACATGTGCTTAAGGTGATGCTCCCTATCACGTTTTCCAAATATCCGATCCCCTTAGATGTTATACTGGATCAAATCATAATCGATCCTCCTCCACGTTTATACGTTTGCACCACCTGGTGATCAAGTATTTGATTATCGTCAGATTAGCTTCCAACACCACCTGATACCACCTGAACCATATCGATTGATCTTGGCCTCGTCCGAAGAATTTCTTTTTCCCAGTCAGAAATGGGCCAATTTTCGTACTTTTTCGCAAACTCAAATACTAGTTGCTTGTGACGGCCTGTCAAAGTGGGTTTAATAAACTTTTTTTTCGCATGGAGACCAGCAGAATGCAGTGCTCTCGATACGGTCGATCTTGAAACTAGTCTATCTTACGCTGTTTCTATTATTTTTGAAGCTTTCTGTGCAGATTCAAATACACCCACTGCCACTTGTCGTACAATTTGAGCTACATCCCGTTTTTTCATAATCTTTGGATGCCCAGATTCATTGCAAGGGCGATTAATATACTGTGCTTTGATCCTGGATATTGTGGTCTTACTGACACCACCTTCACGAGCGATTTCAGTATAAGGGTCGCCTAAATCTAAAAGACAATTTATATTATTTTCTTTATCGATTGAAAGTTTACGCATTATTAAATTAAGTTTCTCTAAATGAACTATCCTTTATATTCACTCGAACGCTAAAAAAATACCCCCTATGGTGGAGTGATCATGAAAATTTCATAGAAAGACTGAAACAGAAGGGGTGCCACGTGCAAAATCGTTTCAATCAATACTTAAACTTTAAAAAGCGATGAAGACTTAAAAAAGCAATATCTCTAACACAAACTACATTAAATAGATCTCAATCTAAACTTATATATATATAAGGGATCAATATAACCAATTATTAACTAAAGCGTTCTAGAATTTTCACGAAAAAATTTAAATATAGAAACTATTTTGAACGATAGTGTATATATATATTTTAATAAAACGTAGTGTGCCTTGTCCATCCTTTTTTGCTCCTTCTTCCCTTTTTTCTTTTTCGGTTTTTAACGCGTCTTTAGCGTTTTAGTTTTACGTTGGCCCTGAGGACCAGCGATATTGTAAAAGTTATTGTTTTAGTCTAGAGGGTTAGAACAAAAACTAAACGTTTAGAGGGAGTTATAACTGAATTTATTAAAAGGCACAGTAGTCTAGAGGACAATTAAGTAATTACTAAGTTAACTAGTTTTACTATATATATAGATTTAGAAACTTTATTTAAAAATATTTATAATGCATAGAGCATAGCTAACTTCTTGTTCAATTTTATGTAAGCAAATAAGAAATTAAACCAGATAGATTAATTTGGTATAACTTATAATTTGTTATATGCGCAAGGGAAAAAGGGTCATACGTGATGTTACTTATCAGTAGTAAATAAAATAATTTTTATAGCAGGTGCCTCTAAGTTGGATTAAACTTTTTTTTCAACATAACTATGGCTTAAAAAGGGATAACCACTTCTAATGCAAGTTGGGAAAACTAGTTTCATGAATCGACAAGCCACTTTTCTTTTGATGAGCCATAGCGCTATAAACGAAAAAATCAGGGCCCTTAAATTTTTTTTGAAAAAACTCTTTTCTAGTGAGTGCATCACATACGTCATAAGGATATCAATAGTTTTAAATATGTACTCCTATAGGCTTTAACATATTACGCTTTCGTTAACCTTAGTCCCTTTTGTGGGCTGCACATTGTCAACAAGTTGAATAGGGGTAAGAGTCAAGATTTATATAAACAAAAAAAAATTTAGACTTATTGCATTCGGGTGTATATGTGTGCATTTTAAAGGGGATGAGTTAAAACAGACTATTTTACAGTTACCCTCCTAGCTAATTTTTTAGAAGAACTATGATCCGGCGTAAACATAGTTCCTCTGATCTTTTGTGAGAGTAATATTAGAGCCTCATGACTGACTCTACTATGGGACACGTAATTTTATAAGGTGAAATTCGTGTTAGGATTTTACTTCGGTATAATGAGGTATATACAGAAATTTACATTCTCATATTCTGTTCTTATTCTGCTTCAAAAATTAAATCTTTAATTAATATATCAATGGTTTATTTTCATTACATCTTCCTGTTGCCGTGAAAGTCATTATACTCCTTAGTTCGTTTCAGATGTAGTATAATGAGTATAAGTCCTTTACCAGACCAGTATTCTATAATAAGTTAAAGGTGACAAAGCCCTTAGTCTTCTTTATTTCTCTAATCGAGTGAGGCGTTCTAATTTTAGTTAACCAGTTCAGGTCTTATTATTCAGACTTAAAAAAACCGAAATATATTATTTATGATGTTTTTCAATGTTACAGTTTTTATTTAATTAGCTTGATAGTTGAGTTACCTTTGGTATGTTTAGGGTTTAGTGTGCCTGTAATAATTCAAAGCAATCAGCTCTTCACAACGAGGAACACTACCGCCACTACGGAAAGATCTTCCAGAAACGAGACTGGTGTTGACAGCATATTTAGACCAACCAGGAAAAAAATACCCACCTATTTTGAGCTGAGGCTACTTTTTACAGAAACCATATACCATTATTGTTTTAACTTAAGCACTGGTATAAAGTCTAGCTCAGGTAGGCCTAAAGTTTGTGTTAAACGCTCTACTTAACGAGAAAATATCGAGGAGTACAAGTGCTACTGTCGGGTTTTTTCAGAACATTTAATTTTGAATTTTCACTCTGAAAAGTTGTAAGATATCATATATGGCTTAAAGGGCACATTAGTTTTTACTTCAAAGCAGATATTACAATCGACGAGGGCTTAACTTTTTGTGCCTATTTAGCAAGCATTGTCGCATAAAAAAAAAATTTTTAATTTTTTTTTTTTCAAGTTGATTACAGTATTTAACTTAACGCATTCCTCAACAAGGTATCTTAGAATTAAAAAATCACATAAGAGCTCCAGAATAGGAGTATTAAAGTTATATCACTTAGTAAATGTTTTCCCCTGCGCTATTGCTTAACAAAGTAAAGAACTGAAGTTGCAGTTTGCATTCTAATGGCGATTATAACTGTAGAAACTTCAAAGTAGTTGTACTTTAGTACAACACTCGTCGTTATAACCGTATTTACTATACAGCTTTCCCTAACAACGCGAAATTAAACGGCTCTACTAAATGCATACAAAAACTTTCAATGTTCCACGTGGCTCTGCGTGTTTTGTTCTTTACAAATGAAAAACTAAGCCCTTTTTGAAACTTATAATAATTTATACTTCAAAATGACTCATGAAAGGGCGTCTCAAAGTTCCTCACAGGAACCTTTTGCGGGGCTAGGACTCGGTTTATGGGAAGAGCAGAAAAGATTGAAAGATGTTAAAAAAACACTATTAAGCAGCGATTTTAATAGTGTTTGTAAATATTTGTAATCGTTTTATTTGCTTTAATTCTATTATTCTATCCATAACGTTAGGAGCAAATAGTAATAGGGTATTCTTGCCATTTAATAAATAATGCACATTTAGCAGCCTCTATTAATGATGAAACTTTTCTTGTATCTTGGAATGGTGATGAGAGACTAAAGATAGACAGGTTTTTAGGCATTATTCTGCTTCAGTGTTTTTTTATATTATGTGATAGCGCTTTAATTATTGATAAACTATTGATATACTTTGGTAGTATTCGCTTATAGATTTACTATATTTTAGGACTTCTATGTTTCCGTTAATACATACTTATAAAGGTGTGACATCCGGTCTCTTTCCTCCTCTGAAAGAGAATTTCAAAAGAGAAGAAAATTTTCTTATGACTTTATAGATATGATCCCGGAGCATGACAGAGACGAATTTGATTTTTTACAGAGTGAACGTTATTATTACCTAAACAACCAAGTATTTATAATTTTAACTAATTTTTAATTTTTGCAAATTTTTATTTTTGTTGCTTAACTTTTCTCGATTTTAATAAATAAGTTATATTTATAGTAGTAGTTGCTATAACTATTTTTTAACAATTACGTAAAACTTTAAGGACATTCAAAGTGAAAATCCTTTAATTCTCCTCGAAAGTAGCAATAAAGAAGGAGTTGCGGCCTACTTAAAAGACTGTGAAAGAGATTTCAAGCTTTGCGCTAATTTTGCTTCGGACCGGCCGTCGCTTCCTTCGGAGCCTCCGTTGGAATTAGAAAGAGAGGAGATTTACGACGGCCCGACCGCGAAGTGTCTCGCTGAAGGTGACTCATATCACTGCTTTCTGCGATTAATTTATAACCGCAGTTCCTGCAAAGGTCGAGCATTGCCTATTGATCGCCAGTCAAGACCGCCTATGCCATGTTATGATTTTGAGATTCCTGACAGCATCCAGTGGGTTCGCTTTATTATTGTTTTCAAGTTTTTCTTTGCAACTTTTCCTTTAGATTCCAATAAACAAAGGCGTGTTTATTATAATTAAAAAAACGTGCGAGTTTGTTACGGCTTTTGGGACATCCTACGAAATTGCGTTGAAGGTGTCACTCGTCTGTGCTTGCTTGCCTTTATTTTTTTTTTAATATCTATTATTTTTAGGCTGTTCTAAAGGATAACCCGCTTGTTGCTTTTCTCTTCAAAGAGCATCCCCTTTACCCTTTTTATAAATTCATCTGCGAACGTTTAAGTAAAAAAGAATCCGTTAATCTTAAAGATGATGCTGGAGTTTGTGATTCAGAAGAAAAGTCTATCAAAACGGAAGATGTTAGTTTTAATGAAAAGCTTCACAGCGAAAGTAAAACCGCATCGTTGGTCCAATACCAAGTTTCGGATGAAGAGAATAGCGATGCCACTGGAGGAGCGAGAGGTCTGAAGGGAAGTCAAGAAATTCCCAGAAGCCCTCGCACCACTGTCAAGGGCTGCTGTTCGCCTTCAGAAAAGGAACAATCGGTAGTCATCCAGTTAAAAAAAAACTCTGATAAGGATGTAAATAATGTTTTTCTGGATTACTCTTCCGAATCGGGCGATGAGAAAATTAATAAAGAGGCAGTTGGTAATAAGCATAAACATAAAACTGGCAGTGTTAGGCACGCTAGGGCGGATGAAGATGACAGAGAGTCGCAGGACTCGCAATCTTTTGGTATGAAACTGGACGATTTGCTTGAAAAGTCTTATCAGATGAGTAAAAAGAAACATAAGCATGAGACCTCCAAAAGCAGCTCCTCGAAAAATCGATCTCGGTCGAGATCGAAGCGAACAAGGTAGTGTAATGCAGGTTTCTGCTTATGTAAAAATTATAAGTTTTTATTATAGAAAAGATCGTTCAAGCCATCGCGCTTCGAAACGAAGGAAGCGCTCGCGACGGCGAAGCCGTAGCAGAAGTTGAAAAATTGCGTTTTTTGGCGTGGCACTGGCATTGTAAAAACGCTTTTCCGCGTAGAAACTTTTCAGTTGTTCTCGCTACCGTTTAATTATTATTTAAAAGAGAAGAAATTTGCATCACTGAGGGTTTTATTACTGGATTTTATACTTTTTTATGGCACTGTAAATAAAGTTGGATATCTTTTTTATTATATTTTACTAATCGTTAATATCATTATATGCGCTTGGTGTCTGCAGGGGAATGTAAGGTTTGAGGCCTTTTATCAATAAGACCTGCATAGCTGCTTGCCAGTTTCCCATCCGAAGGGAGACTCATCCCTTTTTCATACATTAATTATATAAATTTTAAATACTTGAACAGGTTGTCGTTTATCAATAAGTTTTAATAAAAATGTATTGGTAAACGGCTGTTTTGGTAATATTATTTGAGTTTATTGCTGAGAGCGGCGCATTTAGATCAAACTTTGAGATAATAAGGAGTATCTTGAAAAGAAGTGTTTTTTTTCTTAAAAAAGAGACTAGCTTGGGAGCCTTTTTTGTTGATATTCTCTTCTAAAGTCGTAAAATTTCTTATAAAAATCCGCTTTTACATAGTGAACAAACTTGGTTCATAAATTACCTAAGGAATGACTTATGGTTCTTAACTTTTTTTTTAGCATCAATCTTTATGCCGTTGTAACCTTTCCAACACAGTGAGAACAGACTTACATATTGCTGCAAGAGCGCGTATAGCGGATCGCTCCCTTATTTTATACCTAAAATTTCTTAAAAGAATTTTTTGTCTACCCTTCTATCGAATTAATCGCGTTCCTTTTATAAGTTGTTTTTAATCTCGACAGTGGTGATTTAAGACTATTATATTAGTATGTTATTGTGAGATTATTTATTTACTACTTAAAGTACTGTTAAAATATTCAACAGAAAAATGGCTTATGCCCCGTGTACAGAGTAACTCACTTATAAGTTTGGCCAGCGGCGGTAAACCGCAACTGTAAAGTGCGAAGGCAAAAATGAGAGGACCCTTGCGAAATACCTGCTAAGTGGTTCCAGCATTTACACGCACTAAAGTAGTATTCGTTTATATAAGATACCATGTCATAAAGAAGGTGATCGGATAAGACTAAATATTCCCAGATTTCTGGGTCAGTCATTTTATTCCTTTAAGAGGTAATAAGGGTGTGCGCTAGTACCAAAAGTAAAGCTAAGCAGTCTGCGCTCGACTTACCGAGCAGTTGCACAAAGTCACTTAAAAAATGCGTATGGTAGAATTAGTTAATTGGTTTATTCTAAAATCCTTAATGCCTATCTGTAATTTTATGCCAGAAGCTTTGCGCAAATAGAAGTCTATTCCGATTAATAAATTTAGTCTATAAACTAACGTAAAATGAAAATAAAATTATATATTTTATCGCAGTATATAATTGAAAAGCACCTGTTAAAACACGTATAAGAAAAAAAAATAAAACTAAGATAAAGGGACAGAAGTATGAGGAATTTTGTTACCAAATTACTATTGAGCTTTTTTGAAAGCAACTCCAGACAAAATTTTTTAACCACCTTGTCGGTTTTATAGGACTCCATTAACTAAGGTTTCACTTCTCCCTCAAAGTGGGCGGCCTTTTTCGGCGTGGTGAGAAATCTAAAACGGTTTATTAAAGCTTAATCTGCTCTACTGCAAATTTATATGTTGTATCACTGTTGGAAAGCCTCAGTCTCAACTTAATAGAAGTACTTCCTTGGGTAGGCTCAGATACCTTTTAAACGTTGGAGGATAGGGGTTAGATCACGCAATGGAACCTCTTTTTATTAAATTTAATTGTTTATATTAAAGCTTAAGAGTGAAAAATAATAGTATATCTTATAAAGAGATACTGGTATTAATAGTAACATGTGCACTATAAACTTAAGATAATTAAATTTATTTTGGTTTTGGTCCTCAGGTAGGGCGTGGGCCATAGTCCCATTTTCAAAAAGGTTTATCTTTTATTTTGTGTTAGTCACTAAGTTGATTATACCACGTGTGAGGGGAGATTTATATAAATATATATCCTTGTCAATAATATCTCATCTCTTATACATGTAATTTATCGAATAAATAGGATCTTAAGAAATGCTTTATAAAATATTTATATAAGCAATATCAAGAGATACGTATTAAATCAAATTCCATGCAGATAATGAGAATATACCTGAGCTAACTGGTCACAATAAAGTTCAAGAAAAGAAAATTTAATAATTTACATCTAGTTTTTTACGTATGTTTAACGTATGCTCTATTATAAATAAAGTTCTAAAATTTTTAATTATAAAAAAATTGTATTCTATTAATACTAATTAGCAATTTGAACTCATTATTTATACAACTTTTGCAGATGCCCAGTATTCTCTAGCGGATACTGCTTAATCTGCGATTATTATTTTATAAAACGAGAAAAATTCTAAATATTTCTTGTGCACTTCATGTTGTCAAGGGGTTATAAGGCTCCTATAGCGCATAGGGCACATATGTAAATTTCTACACGCAACTGTGATATGATGCGCCCCTTTTGTTCATAAGCAGCGGTTGCTGCGCCTCAAATATCCTAAACTTCTTTACATATATCAGATCATTCGCGTACAAAAACACGGCACATCGGTCGTGAACGTACTCACATCGTGTATTAGTGCAAAATTTGAAAGTACATATTGCTCTTTGCGCGCAGACGCGGCTATTCACTTGTGTCATCTTAACTTTCGCCAAGCCATTTGATGTCGATAATGATCTTCAAGTACATGGTTTAAATATCCCACGAGATAGCTGCGCCCCGAGGACAACGCATTTTTTTTAAAGTGAAGCGCGCTTTCTCTCTGCAAGAGTGCACGTCTTTTTAAGTTTTACTGTAGGTGCTGATGTATTTAGGACTTTCAACGACGCTTCGGCCGCCGTAGAAAGATCCCTACGTTCAGCGAGCATGCGAAAACACGACCTCTTGGAATCGATTGTAGGGCGTAGTAGAGTGCGCAGGTGGTTTTGTACATTCTTATTAACACTAGTTTATAACTACTTCGCATAACAATATAAAAAATATATATTTGACACTGAGTATTCTACGACACTTGAATTAACATAAAGTCAAAATGTCTAAATAATGACTAAGAGAAGTTTAAACCTTTGACTGTGGCGGAATTCGAATAGATCACAATTTATATTGTTCGTCTTCTACTCATATCTAGTCACAGACTTGATATATACTGTTGAAAATAGGAAAACCCAGCTTTTTAAAAAAATTTAAAATGAAAAAACCTTTCTCAACCGAAGCCTTTGCCATTTTTAAGAGTAGTTGTTTCCAACCGCGCGTCACACCTGCGAATTTTCAAGGTACCCTTTTTAATTCATGTTAAGCTGGTTTACTCCTTATTGAGACCTTCAGATTTAGAAGAGATTGGTTACCTTGCCCACTGCTTAGGCCTGTTCCTACGCGCAGACTTTATCCATTTAACTTTTGTGCGGTTTGCAGGCGACCATTGGTGGGCTGTGAGCGCGGAAGGTTAGCCCTGTTCAGTAACGATTTTTATTTTGTCTTAAATATTTTAGTGCGGAAACGTGCAAGGCGACCTTGGCTCTCGCTTCGACCACAGTGAGGTCGGCGTCAGTCCTCCTTTAAAGATCCTTTTCGGGCGACTGTGTAGGTTGGTGCTATTAATGGTAGCATTAAGCGCTGTTTTGTGCCTTGGGCCATTGATTTAAACCTAACTTGTTAGCCTTCGCAGAGCCAAGCTATCTGGGGCATGTTACAAGGAACAATTTTGCCAGGCGATGACAGTACCCAATGCGAAGCCTTCATAACAAGGCTGTTCGACATGACTTAGCATGTATGCACCCACGTTTCACCAAGAACTTTCCATGATCTCCTGAGGCAACGAATTAAAGTATTTCGCATCAGAAGTTAATGCCAGTATTCAACGCGAAGCTTGCAAAATAGTGATAAAGAGTAGTTATCGCTTTGTGTGTTTATTATTATGTAAAAGCAACCAAGGGCAATCATTGAATGAAACAAGTTTAGTCAGCAATTTAATATGCTTTAAGTTCTTGCAATAAGAAAGCCTAATAAAAAGCTGTTGTACAATATTTACCGTAGTAACTCTCATTGATCCAGCTAGATATGCATTAAGTTTTTTAGAATAGGGGACCTTAGCTCACAGATAACCGGCGGTGACACAAGCGTTAGCACCTTGTGCTAAGCTTAAATATTCATGCTTTAATTTCTTGGTCAAATTAGTTTTAGTTGCGACTAATGTATTCTTAAAATTGGCCATAAACATATACGCTTTAAGCTTTTGACCAGATATTTAAAGCTAAACCATCTTAAAATTGGTTAATATTCCATTTTTCGTCTGTGCACAGTGTTAACATAATTAAATCTCAACTCCACTCATGTTTTAAGCTCTTATTAGTTTTATTTAATTGTTTCCTCTATTTGTAACTATCTATAGCTTTCAAAGGCATTAATGTGGACTCATGCTATCATCAGGATATCTTACAAAGCTATCTTTTTAGGTGGCCTAATGATGGCAATCATTTCCTTTAAAACAAGATTGCTATTTACGTTTTTTTTTTAACTTTGCTTAGGAGATAAAGATAACAAATTATATCGAATTCACATTATTTAGTCTTATTATTTGCTTTTTGGTTTAAGAGTCACTAAAGCTAGCGAATACGGTACATTTGTGTTTAGGGTCATATTGTTTATTTTGGTGCCTGTTATAGTTTGGTTCGCCATGAGCGTCCTTGCACTAAAGATTGTTGCGCTTGCATATAAAATTATTTATTAAAAACTTTGTACCATAAAATAAAAAACGCGGTTAAGCTAAGGAAGTTGTTAGAGCTTATATTAAATAGCGATGAAATTTTAACTAAAAAGGCAACAGGTCTAACTCAAAAGAAAAGTTGTTACTTGAACAAACGTTACTAAAATAAGTACCAAACATAAGAAAATTTTTAATCGGTATTGTTATAAACCTTCTTAAAACAACCTCAGGAAGCTGACAATTTGCGTTATATAATGAAGTATGTTGCCTGAAATAGAAAAGTCATTGCTGTAGCGTGAGTTCCTCCTTAACTTCGTGTTCAACCTTATGTAGTACTTGGAACAATAAATAATAGAATTTTGATTCTCTTATATTTAGCATCCGCGTAGTCGTTTATATAAAAACTGCGCAGGACGACAGTCTTAGTCTAGCAATATGGCTTGCTTAAGGTCCCTTTTCAATAACGAAAAACTTTTATTTTTATATCTTATTACTGAAAATTGAGCTCTTAAGTTGATTTTAATACACTTTGTTAAACGAAGGCTTAGATTATTAGAAGGAGAAACTCCATTTTCAGATTTTCTGGATTGTATGGAAGGAAAAGTTAGGCTAATTATAAGTTTCTGCTTTTACATATTACTTAAAATCAAAAAACATTTTTTTTAATTTTATATTTTATGAAAACAAGGCACAAAACATTCATGTCGATGTTACAAAACCAATTAAAGAGTATATAAAGGAGATCAAGCTTTCCGTAAATTGTTATTACCAGGTAAATCATTATCTAGTTATTTTAAAAGTTTCAAGTTATATTTATGGCTACTATGTAACATTCTTTTATCTTTACTAATTTTTTAGTTAGAGGAAATAAAACTTTTCGACTCGAAATCTAAAAAATATGTTAATAATGAACTTTCCTTAGAAGAGCAAAAGACAAATTTAGATATTGAAGATTATTCAAAACCGCTGTAATATAAAAATATTTTTTAATTTATTTTGGAAAATCTTTAATTAATTTAAAAAAATTTCTAGTTGACGTTGTTTATAACTCATTCAGTCACGATACTGAAGTTTATTGCTATTTTATTATTTTTAATGGTTCTTAGAGAATTTTTTTTTCTTTTTATGAAATTTTTTAAACAACATTTAATTAGCAAATATATATATACTACAATAAAGCTTGTGCTCATGATTTTTTAAAACAGTTTTTTTTTATTTTTTTGCTATATATAATAATTATATTTTCTTTATATCTTTCTACTTGTAGTTTTTTTTTCTTTTCTTTATTTTTTATTTTAATAATATAAATAAAATATAATACTTTCAAATATTTATATATACAATTTTGCTGTAGTTATCTAAAAGTCCGGCGCTCTCCGCGTTACCGAGCTAAAGAAGCCCTACGTAATCAAATTTTTATATTTGATTCTTAATTTGTAGACAAGTAGAACTAATTGCACGGAAATTTTAAATTTTTAATAGAGTTTTATATTTCAAAATATTATTTTAGATTTATTTTTTTTTAATTTAATAAAAATTTTTTCAATTTTTTAGTAAATTATTTTTTTATAGAATTTGTAATTACTAATAAAAATTGATAAAAGTTTATTTGAATTCATCTTTATAATTTAGAAAAATTTTAATTTTTTAATATAATTTATTTTAATAGAATTTGATTTCGAAAGTTAATAAACTTTTATTTAAAGTTTAAATTTACTGTAACTTCAATTTTTTTTAATGTAAACAATCAAGTTTTACTTGCAAATAAGCCTCATCCGCTTGTTATTTTAGTTTTCCATTCAATATCAAATTTCAAAAAAAATATCTCTTAAGCTCTTTAGTAAAAAAAGTTGTGTAATTTTTTTTTTCGAATAAATTTATAAAGAATAGTTAATATAAAGTTTTTAATATCAAAATTTATACACGATTGTGAACTTTTATATATAGTAAAGTTAAATTTATGAAAATCTTCCCTACTCTTTTCTGATTAAAAATTATATAATTAAAACTATTAAATTTCTATTGTCTTAAATGTTTTTTAACTTTGCTTTGCGGATTTTGGTAATTTTAAAAGTTTTGTAGCTTTTAATTTTTTTTGGTTTAACTTTTATAGTACTAAACTTTACACTGACGAGAATTTAATTTATTTAATTATTAGAAATGCTTAATAGCTTACAAATTTATTATTGCTTAAATCTAAATCTTAAGATTTTCAGATATTATAATTATTTGAAATGATTTTTGGTGTTCTCTGTAAGAAAAAGTTTTATTTAAAATTTATAAAAGTAAAAATAAATTGATTATATAGTTGAAACACGCAGCACATTTTTTGAAAAAAAGGCTCATTATTTATATAAGGTGTTTGTTGATGAGTGCAGCTTGATTTTTTGTAAACTTTTAATAATTTATATTCATTAATTTATTTAGAAAAAAATATTATTTTTAAAAGAACTAAATTAATATACATTCAATTAAATAGTGTATAATTAAATAAATTTCACAGCGACTAAATCTTTGAACTTTGGTAAATTAATTTTCTTTATTTTCTGCGAATGCAACTTTTATTATTAATTTAATTTAATTTAAAACCTTAAAAAAAATTTAATTGTACTTCTGTGGGAAGAAAGGAGAAGTAAGGGCCTTAAATCTATAATCAATAAAAATTATTGTATGACTAATAAATTTCATAGTGATTACATTTTTGAAGGGTCGAAGTTTAGTTAAATAAATCTATATATTTTTCTTACGTTTGAGATTATAATATTGCAGATTTTATTATTAAATCAAAATAATTTAAAATTTAAATTTTTTGAATGTAGTTTTATTGAATAAAATGAAAGAAAAAGAACTTTATAGCAATTTATCTTCTCTACGCTCCAATATTGTGGTTCATTTCTTAAATCTTTATAATATGGTTTTCCCCTTTTTTAAAAATTTTAGGATGACGAGGAGTATATGTCAGAATTTATAAAACAGGGCGGCCTTACTTCCGTTCTGATGGCTATTAGCTCGCCTAACCTGTATAAATTTTCAAAATATATTTTAGATTTTTTTTAAAATTAATGCTAATCAGCTCGAGTAAAACCGTTAGAAAAGGATTTTCTGTCGTAACGGCAATGGCGAAGATTAAAATTTCTTTTGAACTTTTACAAAAGTCCCTAGATGGTCTCTTGGCTCTCGTCAAACTTATTTGTACAAGTGATGTGCGTCGATTTTCTTTTACGTGACAATTTTAAAATTCAAAAAATTTTGATGTAGGTTAAAAAAGATGCTTTACTCCTTTTTTCCACGTTAATTGAATTATCTCAAGATTCGGGCTTCATACTTTCTTGTCTCCTCGCTGGTTTTAATTTTTTGTTGGTTTTTTGTTAAAATTTATAATTAATTTATGAAAGACTCTGAATCGCTTAAAATTTTTGCTTCTCTCGTTGCTTTACTGAATTTTGGATTTTACGGAGATGAATTTATATTGTTATCTACTATTAATAAAGTTCGTTAATCAAGTAGACTCGTAGATTTTTCGTTCGCTAATTTTCTGTAGCTTCTTGAAAAGGCACCCACCAAAGATCTTTTTTTCAGTACCGTTAAGGCGCTAGAAAAAAATCGGTTTAATGGTTGTGATTTACTTTTTTTAATTAAATTATATAATCTCTAAATTAAAATTCGTATAAGAAATCTGCGAAAAGAAAAGCAAGAAAGATGCAAAGATGAACATTTTTTACCAGCAATACACAGAACTGATCCGCAACGCCGAAACTTCCGCTGATCGATTTGTTTAGAATTTATTATTTAATTAAATCTTTTGGCTTTTTTTATAATATATAAAAAGCTGCGCGCAGATGAAAGCCAAATTTCCAGTGACGAGACCAAAAGTTTAGTTGAAAATGTGATTAAAAAAAAATGATTATCTTTATGTTATAATTAAATTTTGATTCCGCAGACGGACAAACAAAAACTCGAGATCACCAGTTCCAGTGCGGAAAAGTGCTTTTGAAATTCTCACATTTTCCATGCTTGCGTTAATTTTTTTATAAAAGTTTAGATCTTCAAGAAATTCAGACACGAAAAGAACTGCCGGCAGCGTCGGTTGCCCACGCAGATATTGATAAGTTAGATTTTACTTTTTTTTTTTGGAGATTCTTCCAGCGCCGCAGCTGCGATGTTATATTTTTTTTAAAAAAAAATTTGCAAAGGGCCAGTTCTGAGGAAATCAAGGAGATCCCAGCAGCGATGAAGCTTCTAAGAGGAGACAAGCAGAAACGCGTCAGCTGGGCACAAGTACTTTTTGCCGATTTGAATTAATTCATTAACTTTATTTTGCTGCGTTCGGCCCTAGATCCACGTGGACAATATCCTCTCTGGCTCGGCTCCTTCTAAAGGTAGTTATATTCTCAATCTCAGCAATTCGGGCTAATCCCGATTACTTTTATAAGATTTTGCCAAGGAACGACCTCCAGAATTGGATGGCCATCCGAGTGTGCAGTCTCGAAAAGGTTCCTCTACTTTTACTGTTCATCTTCGCTTTGAAGTGAATATATTTGTCAGCCGCTCTGGAAAAGGAACGGGAGCCGGAAACAAGGGACAGCAAAGTGTTAGAGATTTCTACGCAGGGGATTTCCTCTGAAGAAACGCAAGCTTCTTTGGTATTATAATCAAATTAACTACTCACAGTTCTTATTGAACTGCTTTTAGATGGTGGGCGGATATGATTTTTCAGAGATGTCTGAAGACGAGCTTCCGAAAAGGTTTTTTTTAATCAGTCTCCTCTTGCCTCCGTTACTCGTTTCTGACTCCAGCACAAGCAGCGAAACAGAAGACCACGAGAACGTACAAGATCTACTTTCGCCTCCACCCCCGCCTCCGCCTCCACCCCTTCCTGGCCACGTGACCCCACAAGGCATACCACCCCCACCCCCACCTCCTCCGCCTTTCGGGCAGCTGCCCCCGCCTTTGCTTCCGGGAGCGGAGCTCAGGAAAGCCCCTGCGGACACGAAGAAGTATCTTCCAGTGCGCTGGCAGGCGCACCGAGTCACATGTGCGGATCCCGGAAGCTTCTGGGCTGTCTGTGAAGCTCCCTCTGCAAATATTAGCGAGCTGCTGCAATCTTTTCTCAAGCTCGAGACGTCCGTGACTAAGAAAGCTGCTGTAGAAAAGGTCTCTTTTCAAAAGTCTATACTCTTCCCCCCCTTTCTTTTTCTAACTGATGCTTAGCTGAGCGAGAAGACTGCATCGAAGCTAACCTGCATTGATCCCTTGAAAAGGCAGAATCTTTCCATCAAAATCAAAGCACTTCCGGAGTTCCAGTACGTCAGAAGCGCGATCGCCGATATGAATAGTCTTGTCGTAAGCCGCTCTTCCTTTTTCCTTCGAGGTTTAGCGGATTCTAATAATTTTCATCTCCGTAGCTCAACCGCGATCAGCTCAAGCAGGTGATATCGCTATTTGACGAAAAAGGCGTTGATCATTCAGAAGTGGCAAAGTTAAAGGTCTTTTTTAAAGAAAATTTTGTTTTCTGCTGCTTTTTTATAATAACTGCGCTTGTTTTTATAGCAACTTGTGGAGACGCAATCTTCTCTGGACCCTTCTGAGCGACAGGAGTTGGATCCTCTGGAAGCAGTGAGCTTTTAATAAAAAAAAGTTTTATTTATTTTATTTGTCCTTAGTTTACTTGCTTTTTTTAAAAAGTATATTTGGGAGATCGTGCAGCTCCCCAATTTCAAAACGTGGCTTACTGTGTGGCAAATTATGGACGACTTCCCGGTGACGCTGAACGGGTTCAGTTTCTGCCCTTTTTACCTAGTGCTCGATAGCAAACTCTACTTTTAGAATTGCGGAGACGTGCCACTCTCTCTGGAGCTCCATTCTTCAACTGCGTAGTTCAAAAGGCTTCCGAACTTTCCTGCAGCTTCTTCTGAAGTTTTACAATTCCGTAGCACCGCAAAGCGTCAAAGTTTTTTTATTATTATTAAGCGAATAGACTTTACTTTACTCCCGCATTTCCTTATATTTAGGGGCTACAATTAAACGTTCTTGCGGAGCTGCCGAGCTTTATGGACAACAAAAAAGTCTTAATGATAGACCATCTTATAGAGATTATGAAGTTTTTTCGCTAATTTATATATATAAACTTTATTGATAATGATTACGTTAAAAAAAAAAGAACTCAATTTGCAGAAGAGGCTGATCTTCACGTTCAACTGCGTTCAGTGGAACAAACAAGTACTTGTTTTTATTTTTATTTTGTTTTTTCAATCTCACTTCTCTGCTCAGGCAAGTACGATCTGAAGGACATTAACCAGCGACTGTTAACCCTTCAGAAAACCACAGAAGAGGGCCTCGCTATAATAGCACAAGAAAGTATGGCGTGGCAGGAGGCGCTGCTGAGCTTTTTTATTAATTTTTATTAGATATCAAATTGATGAAGTGCAAAAACTTTACGACAACGTCTGCTTCTCAAGTAAAATTGTTGCAGGAAGTGAATCGGAAGTTGGAGTGGAAATTTAAAAAATTATTAATCTATTTTGGTTTTTACTAATATTTTTTTTAGTTTAAACTATTTTTTTTACTAGTGATTATATATATATTTAATAGATTATTAACAAATGTTTTTCTATAGGAACGGATCCTGCTAAAACCGATTTAAACGAATTTTTTCAAACGCTATCAAATTTTGTTATCTTGTACAGGACTAAAGCGAAAGAATATGAAGAAAAGCAGGAAATGCTGTACAATTTTATAATAGTCTCTCTTTTAGCTAATTATATAATTTTAAATAGAAAAAAACTTAAAGAAAAAACACAAAAGCTGGAAAGCGATCTTCCTGATGACTCTGAATTATCCATAAAACCACAAAAAGGTATTTTTACTAAGAATTTTGCTTGACTGTTTTGCTGATGATTTTGAAATATAGGACTTGTGTCGAGCATTTTAAAAAGTAGAGACTCTCACAGGCCCGTGCATTACTTGCATTTCTGGATTTCTCGGTGTTTGTAAATATTATTTAGAGCTCCTGTTTCTTCTGAAAAGATGGAAGAACTTCAGCAGGAAAACGACATGAAAATAATTGAAGACAAAATTACCACGCGAAGTCGTCGCATGCAAAATATTGCTCGCGCGAAAAGCACACGACGAGGTGGAAAAGCTTCAGGTTTTTTTTTATTGTTTATGAATTCATAATGAATTTGAAAATAACTTTAAATGTTACGCAGGAAGGTTTGCTAGTTAAAAAAAATCATGTTTTTTTATAATAAATATGGCGCGTCTACACACTAATAAGAGATTGTTAGCTTCTCTGTAGAGATTTTCAAAGTTTAGTAAAAATAATTTATTTCTCACGGTCAGCATAATAAAAATTATTCCCTTGCGTATAATAAAAAGTGTCAAAGAACGCTTCTAAAAAATTAATCATTTTATTTGACTGCACTTAACCTGAACGTCACAAATTTTGCAGCAAATTTTCTTGTAAAACGGCTTCTAAAAAGGTTGAGTGATACTTTTAAATTTTGGTGTAAAATCCTTTACTTCACTCAAAAGCTGTTTAAAGCATGCCGGTATCCATTGAAAAAATTAGAATGCCCCACATTTCTTACTGTAAAGAAGAACTTTCATATCTCTTCCTTTAAATAACAAGTTAATTGCATAACCAGTAGCGGCCAAACGGTGAAAAAGAGGAGAGAGCATACTTTTAACCTGTAGGGTAAGGGTACTTATATCTTCAGGGAAGAAATACAGTATGGGGGGCCACAAAAAAACAATTAAGTTCAAGCACATGAAATGGGCGTGTGTATAACAACACAAGGTATATTTACCACGTGGTGTCTGACAGATACTCGTAGTTTGAGCACATGATAAGGGCATGTGGTATAAGGACACAAGGTTGATGTACCGCTTGGTCGAGCACGTGGTTTATTAGAGTTAACATCGACACTCTCCTCTAACTTTTATAAATGTCTGCTTGCCTCTTTAATGTAGATCGATCATTAAGACTCTGGCGTATTTTTGTTTCATTGTATTTGGGGGGGAATTTCCGAGGTGGAACGTTAATATAAGCAGACCTTTTTTCTAAAATTGAATTTAATTACTTAGTTTGGTTTTAAAAGCAGGTGGAAACATAGCAGTTTAGTTACAAAACTTTTTTGCTATATTCTATGATGGTGAAAAGCAACTAGATTTGAAGAAAATTTGTTCCCTTGTTACGTTTTATAACTTATAGTTTTAATGAAAAAGGATAAAGCTTATGGAGTAAAAAGGGCGAGTTAACCACAAAAAAGCACAACTAAGGCAACAACTTAAACCCAAATCTTGTAGATAACACGAAAAAGTTTTTTTGACCATCTTCCAGCTAACATATTTACTCTTTCGCCGAAATTGTAAAATATGGACTTCAGAAATTTTAGAAATATTAGTTGTATAAAAAAAATTGTTTACAGCGATAATTAAATCTAACAGATTGAAATAATAAGCACAACACCCCAATAGTGCACGAATTTTTAAAGCAGTTTTTATATATTTGCCAAATAAACTCTACTTCTTAAAAGTATAAAAAAAAACAGGTAATTTTATTATAATTACAGCCCGTGAACGTTTTAAATCTAATCTTACTGTTTAGTTTTCTAAGAATAGTACCTTCTGTAAAACAGACTTTGAGAATAAACTGTTATAATAAAGGTATTATCGCATTCGGACTTATAACAATAATTAGTCGGCTAAATTACAGTTTTTATTTAAAAGTTTTAATATTTAAAATTGAAAATATTTACAAGTACACATAAAAAAAACTTAAATTTGTATTGACTTATAAGGGCCGAGTCATCCTTGTTTATTAATACAAATAAGTTAAACTTAAGAAAAGAAATTTGCTTTTAATAAAACCTTAAACCTAGAGGTACAACTTTAATATATATACTATTTTAAAAAAAATAGACAGTTTAAAAAAATAGCATAAGTAAAAGATGTAATAGTTCTGTTAAAATCAGGAGCTGAAAGAGGTCGTTATGAGCACACAATTAAACTCAAAGCAGAAACACTAAGAAAAAACACAACAAAAGGGGAACGGAAAAGAAGAGATAAAATTTAACGAGCGTAAAATTATTTTTTGACGTGTTAATTATAGACCTGAAGACGCACAAAACTAGGCATGAATTTCAGGCTTAATTTTGTCGGTTTACTGAATTGCTTTGTACCCAACCTCAAGAGCTTATCGTTCGTACTTACATCTTCACCTTTCAACTTTGTAAATCAATTATTTTCATCTTACGCATCTTTCGGTGCCGCCCAAACCCTTTAAGTAAAGATCATTTCTTTATTCTTTAAGTATAAACTCCATCACTCCTCTCACACGCTTCCTTTATTACATATTTTTTGCTTTATAACATCATCCTCATTTGAAGAATTAGAGATAATATCATTCTAAAACCAATCTTCTTTCGTCCCTTCGTGCCAGTTATATCTTGATATTTTGCTTTAAACCGGTTAGAAAAAGCTTATGCAATTTGTTCACTTGTTAAAATGGAGCTCGAACTGCAAAGCAACTCATTTTTATAAAAACTTTAAAATCTTATCCAGTTAACTCAATTATATCAGAGTAAATAGATATTTTCGTGTATTTCATACTTATATTCAAAAGAGGATTTAGTTTACTTTTCTATATTAAACCATAATTTTTTTTATTAAGAATTTTCTCCGCTTTTCTTTTAGTAGCAGGCAATACTTTTTATGGTAATGAACTTATTGAGAAAGTAAAAAAGGTTCTAGCGGTTTGACGATTTAGTAAATAAAGTTCATTTAGAAATGTTTTAAATTTTTAAGAATACTACATGTTTGTTTTTAACTAATTTTATAACCATTAAAACCAATTATAAGTACTAATCCCATCTGTCTTTATCTGGTTTAATTACTATGCCAATAAGACTGGCTAGTTGAACATTTAGAAACAGTTGAGTAATCTTTTGGGATTCTTTAGTTATTGCTATTGTTGCTACTTGCATTTAATAAGCTTATATATCTATCTACACACTTGACGGGTTGTTATATCCATTATATTAATAAACCATTTGTGCTCTGTCATTGTTTTTTACAATTATTAAGGGCTTCTTAAAGTTTAAATCTTCGCTCTTTAACTAATAACTTCTTTTATTCATTCTTTTAGAATTAACCTTGTCTTGTTCTTTAAAATTCTTATTTTTGTATGTTCTTAATTAATACTCGTACACTTCGTCCAGCGCTTACTTTTAGGTTTCACCCTTTTTTTTTACCAACTTATTACATTTATTGAATTCTTACTTTACTGTCAAGTCTTTGGGATGTTTTTTAAAACTAATAATAATTTTGCACGTTTAGTACCTTAACAGAACAGTTAATAATAGGTTAAGCGGATTAGAAATTCGGTATCGTCGTTATACTTATATAAATATATATACCGGAATGCTGAGAATTTTTCTTGTTAGGACTGTGTTGCGTTTCTGTAGAAACTAAAATCTTTATACACAATTTCAACATTCTTATAAGTAAAATTAACTGCAGTTTTATACTCGCACTATAAAAAATTTAGTGCGTTCGTCTAATACATTTTTAAAAGAAAACTTCTTGTTCCTCTTTTTTATTTAACTTATCTATGTTGCTACTATTACAGTTCGGACATCTACCAAGTTTGGAGTAGCAATCAAAAAATCAGAAACCTCAACTATAATTTAAATTATTTTTTGCGTGTACACCAGCAAGTGATATACTTTAAAACAGCATTACTTTATTTACGATTGCTCAACTGGACATTTAGCAAAATCTTTTATAGTTTTATACTCGTATACTTCAGACCTTCCTCTGCGCATACAATATCTTTGCTTTACTGGATCCTCGCCAAAGTTTTCATGGAGGTTAAAACGAAGGCAACAACGTAATTTTTCATCGAGTTGAAAGTGTCTGTAGTTTAACGTTACAAAAAAATGGGGCTAAATAGCTTATAATTTAAGTGTTAATGAACATTACAAGCCGCTTATATTAAAACTTGTATCAAAAGCATCACTCGCAATAAAAGTTAAAGGATTTTCTTTTAAGACCCTATAAAAATTTTTTGTTAAGCAGAACTTTCACAACACTATTTATAAGAATTATTATTAATAATAATACTTACAAATTTGTCAGTGATGGAAGACATTTAAAAGTTCTAGAAGTTATGGAGGTTAATTTGTTATTATAAAAATTCCTGTAAGAGTTGAAGGCATTGTAAGATTAAAAATTAAGCTTTCTTAAAAGTAAGTTAGAAAGTTAATAACGTTCTTACAAATTTTCTAAAGAATTTAAACCGACAAATGCAAATCTCGAAATGGAAGAAATTAAACTACCCGCTAGAATCCTAATATAGTATAATATTTACAATTATAAAAATGATAATATCATTGTTTAAAAACACATATGATAATATCATTGTTTCAAAACACATTTACGAAGTTACTTTTCTAATGCAGAGTTAATTATTGATAATCAACTATATAGTTTACGTACAAATCTGTCAGTGCTGTTAATGGAGTCAACACTACGGAATTAATAGAGTTTATGTTAGTAGCCCACAAATTTCTGGTAAAGAAAAAGTTTGTATTAGAAATAAATGAAATTTATATTAATTAAGTATATTACTGTTACTTTCTTTTCTTATTATCATAAAAAATGGTAATAATATAATATTTTACAATATTTTTAAACTTGTTAACCCCTCAAACGCATCATCATTTAGTACAGAAATTGGATTTCTTCCCAACTGTCTATAAATTAAAAAGAAAGTTTTTAGAATTAAGCTCAGCACAATACAACGTTTAAAGTATTCATCCCGTACGAGATTGCTCGCACCCTATCTCTTTTTTTTTTAACTATTAATAAAATACAAAAGCTTAAACATAAAAAGTGATGGAAGTGTTTAGGAATGAGCTAAAGATTTCAGACTTAATCGCTATGCCTTAGCAGAGCGTTAAATAAATCAAAAAATATATTTGTAAAAATAGAAATCTTAATAAAAAAAATAAACTCGTAGTTTATTTAAATATTGTGACAAATATATTATCTATAAAAGTTTATATTAATATTTCGAAATTTTATTTATAAAGTAAAAAAAATTATTTATTTTTTATTACCAAGGTACTAATTTTTAATTTGTGATTGGTTGTTGGTTATATAAAACCTAATTTGACCAACGCATGTCCTGTTTTTCTTAAGTTTGTAGCTTGCTACTAATAATATTTCAACTTAGCATTTATATATTTAATGTTTAACCATAATGACAGTATATTTTATATATCTTGCAAAAAATATAACGTCTTTAGCAGCAAACGCTACAAACG